TCGAATCGAACGTAGGAGAAAAAATACAATTGGACAGCAGCTTATCCGAAACTCCCACATTAGTCATACTTGGCAGGATCATGCTGACAACAGATGATAACTACGCGGACTAGGAGCCGTTTGTGGAACTTTTTTTCAATTAAACAGGCATGTTGTTCTGAGAAAACCTGCACAGAAGTGACCGAAATTAGTGAAGGGATCTCTCAAATTCCTGACAGAGCTATTGCTAACACCTACAATAAGGCACCTACTGACTGCAACGATAACGAAAAATCCATAGGATAGTGTGTGGCTAGATTTTGAAAAAAAGGCGGACTTCAGTGAACAGATGGGCGTCCGAGGTGCCTCCCAGCGGCGAGCCGAAGAGTTAAGTCTGGTGCCAGTTTTTGTTAGTAATAGGCCACCATTTTAAGGTCCGATAACTAAGTTTTCCTTTTGTTACCAACTAATGCTACTGGTAGCAGCATCCGTGCTTTCTTTAAACAAATGAAAGGGGAAGAGCAAGTTTTTTTTTTGGGTTAGGATTATTAACCAGATTTTATCATTTAAGAGCTAAAATGTAAACCACCAAATCCACACTGGTAACAAGCGTTAAATTTTTGCAGCTTAAACTGCTGTTTAGCATACAGTATGCGAGCAAATTAATCAAAATGCAAGTAGTTAGTGGACAACTCAAAAGATAAGTATTCTAACGCTGGAAGGTTTCGCTACTGAAAGATTGTAGGGCAGTGTCAGCTTTCAAACGGGCACTTACCGTGCTGACCGGTTTTGTAAACGTGTAGTGAACAGGCGTCATTTTTGAAACTTGACTAACTGGCACTTTGTCGCCAGGCTTCTTGGACGCTTTGCGGTCATCAAGCGGGGCAACTGTGAAATCCACCGAACGGTCAAAACCGGCATCTAGCAGGGGTGTCTCCAGGTGGATGCGGAATCCGGTCTGTTCAAAGCGCAGATTGGGGGTGCTCCTCACGTCCAAATTTCTATCAACGACAGTGATTAGACGCGGGTGACTGGTCTTCTGTTGATTTGCGGCTGGGGCCCAGCACCAGTTGTTGGCAGGAAGGGTTGTAGGGGTAGTAGCCGATGCCAAGACCAGCTGGACCTCATAGGTGCCCGGAAACACCGAATCAAAGAAGTATGTAGCATGAAGTGCACTCTTCTGAAGAATAAAAAACACCACTGGTTAAGAAAATAAACACCGCGGACTCATCATTGTCAGGAAGGGTCGCGGGCGATTGGATTCAGGCATCACTGTGGGGTATTGAAAATATTCGAATGAAATAAATGGTGCCAGATT